ATATGGCAACATAGGTAGTAGATTAAATTTACAAATTTCTCAAAATTTTAGCAAAAAATCATCTTTTTTGGAAATCTTCAAAGTAAAATAACTCTAAAATATTACGGTTATTTTGGATCTATTTGAAAAACGGTAAAGAGAAAATATGTTTCTTTTATCGAGATCTACCAACCCTGAAAATATTTGCCCTCACCCTGTATATGTATAATCATTATTAAATAAAAAATTAAATAAACTGATAGCCTCATATCAATTTGAGGAAGAAAAGTTATATTACCCAACAACAAAAGTTTAATTACAACTCGCCTCCTTCAGAGGCAATTACAGTCCCCCAGCAATTACGGGGGACAGCGTACTCCAAGGGAGACTGACGACTGCCCGGAGCTGACCAATTGGTCAGCGCCGGTCCCCCCTGGCAATTTTCGGGCCAGCGAAAGTTTGTTGTTAATCAATGGGGGGACTTCGACGGGATTAGGTGTTTTATTAATTGAAACTCTCTGCGTGCTGATGAACACTAGGGGTGAGAAGTGAGCTTGGTGATGGGGGTGTATTGATTGTAGCTTTGTCGGTTTTTATTTGTTGTTTATAGATTCATTTTCACCATTTTTTTTTCATTGCAATACACAGTGGTTCCTCTTAATTAGCTGCGCGGTCATAACTGTTAGATATCTAGATATAGCTTGACTGCACCATTTTAATAGAAATTGATAACAAATGCTAAATAAAATGTATATAAAAAAATTAATGTAATATGTATTAAAAAAATTGGGCCCAGTTCGTGTGATTTGCATTTTAAGTTCTAACTATTCGGAAAGGTATACAGATACAGATTATGTTTGCACATATGTACAGGGACATCATTTTAAGTGTCTCACTCGATTTATAATTTTCCTGTTTGGTATTTAAAGATATTAGAAAGATTTTCTAATGTAATTTTTCGCGAGGATGCCGATTCTCTACACCAAAATTTTTTAAAACGTCAATTTTGACAGATACGACGCCATCTTGATTTTTTTTAAATGGAAACCCCCACATATTTTAGCATGGTCTGGTAGACATATTTTAGCTAATTTCAAAAATATATAGTTTAGTATACTTTGCATTTATACAGTGGATTTAAAAATGAATTGTTCCAGAATCATTTTAAGTGTCTCACCCAATTTAAAATTTTCCTCTTTTCTATTTTAAGATAGTAAAAAGATATTTTAATGTAATTTTTCGCGAGGATGCCGATTTTCTACATTAAAATTTTTTACAACGTCAATTTTGAAAGATACGACGCCATCTTGATTTTTTTTTAAATAGAAACCCCCACATATTTTAGCATGGTCCGGTAGACATATTTTAGCTAATTTCAAAAATATATAGTTTAGTATATTTTGCACTTACCGTTTTCGATATACAGTGGATTTAAAAATGAATTGTTCCAGAATCATTTTAAGTGTCTCACCCAAATTAAAATTTTCCTCTTTTCTATTTTAAGATAGTAAAAAGATATTTTAATGTAATTTTTCGCGAGGATGCCGATTTTCTACATTAAATTTTTTTACAACGTCAATTTTGAAAGATACGACGCCATCTTGATTTTTTTTAAATGGAAACCCGCACATATTTTAGCATGGTCCGGTAGACATATTTTAGCTAATTTCAAAAATATATAGTTTAGTATATTTTGCACTTACCGTTTTCGATATACAGTGGATTTAAAAATGAATTGTTCCAGAATCATTTTAAGTGTCTCACCCAAATTAAAATTTTCCTCTTTTCTATTTTACGATAGTAAAAAGATATTTTAATGTAATTTTTCGCGAGGATACCGATTTTCTACATTAAAATTTTTTACAACGTCAATTTTGAAAGATACGACGCCATCTTGATTTTTTTAAAATGGAAACCCCCACATATTTTAGCATGGTCCGGTAGACATATTTTAGCTAATTTCAAAAATATATAGTTTAGTATATTTTGCACTTACCGTTTTCGATATACAGTGGATTTAAGAATGAATTGTTCCAGAATCATTTTAAGTGTCTCACTCAATTTAAAATTTTCCTCTTTTTTATTTTAAGATAGTAAAAAGATATTTTAATGTAATTTTTCGCGAGGATGCCGATTTTCTACATTAAAATTTTTTACAACGTCAATTTTGACAGATACAACGCCATCTTGATTTTTTTTAAATGGAAACCCCCACATATTTTAGCATGGTCCGGTAGACATATTTTAGCTAATTTTAAAAATATATAGTTTAGTATACTTTGCACTTACCGTTTTCGATATACAGTGAATTTAAAAATGAATTGTTCCAGAATCATTTTAAGTGTCTCACCCAATTTAAAATTTTCCTCTCTTCTATTTTAAGATAGTAAAAAGATATTTTAATGTAATTTTTCGCGAGGATGCCGATTTTCTACATTAAAATTTTTTACAACGTCAATTTTGACAGATACGACGCCATCTTAAAATGATTCTGGAACAATTCATTTTTAAATCCACTGTATATCGAAAACGGTAAGTGCAAAGTATACTAAACTATATATTTTTGAAATTAGCTAAAGCTTGTCTACCGGGCGGTGTTAAAATTTGATGGGGTTTCCATTTAAAAAAAATCAAGATGGCGTCGTATCTGTCAAAATTGACGTTTTAAAAAATTTTGGTGTAGAGAATCGGCATCCTCGCTAAAATTGCATTAGGAAATCTTTCTACTATCTTTAAATACCAAACAGGAAAATTATAAATCGAGTGAGACACTTAAAATGATGTCCCTGTACATGTTTTTTCATATTGAAGAGGTCAAATTTATTTTAAATGTTGAAAAAATGAAAGAGACTGTTGTTTCATTTTATGAATACAATTTTATTGTCAATTGATATACAGTGTGTCTACGAAATAAGTTGACACGAAGAGGAAAAAATAAGTTACTTTTATTTTAAGACAAAAAGTCAATCTTTAACCACCCGGTATAAGATCCGGCGGCAATTCGCGGCAGCCAATGGCAATTAATTTATATGCAATATACTTTAAGCAACAAGTATTTTCATGCCGTTTAAGAGGATTTGAAAGGGAAAGTAGTGAAAAGTCTTAAAGAGTGAAAAGCAAAAATGTAATAATATTATTTTTGTTGCCTTCAAATAAATTGCCATAAACTAATATTACTTAGGTTTAATTAAGTGCAAAAAAGAAAAAACAGTTCTTTTTACCTTCTTTTCGAACGTTCATTACAGAAAAGGCAACAGCTTTTATCAATTTTAATAAAATAAGTAATTATTTGGCGTTATCTGAAAACTGTTTATGTCAGCTTAATACCAGTAGCAAAAATGTGACATTTCTAATAAAAAAAGCGCTACGCTAGGCTTACTTTTGTTATTTATTATGTATCGTTTACAGGGGAATATAAGAAAAGTATTAGCAACAGTTTCATGCGAACATTTTGAAATTAATATTTCTAAGTAATGACCTATCTGGGAACCACTGCGCAATAATACAAACTGTTCAGCAAATAAAACTTTACTTTTGGTGTTGAATCAGAAAAATAAAACACTAATTCGCCACAATACACCAAAACAGTTTACTTCTAACACCTAACAGTCAGTTGAGTTAACTCGACGTTCATTTTTTTGAGGTAGAAATTTACTGCTCTACAAAAATAGTTCCTCAAGATTAGTCGATTTAATTAACCGTTTAAAAGATATTCACCGTCAAACTTCAATGCAGAATAATTTAACAGTGTTTGATTAATAATTCGGACAATTCCAATTTATTTTATGCGTTTCGGGAAAATTTGTACAAATTTGAGTTTCTATGAACAAAGAAATGTTTTAAAGGGACGACCTTCCCATTAAAATTAAGAGCTTATACTTGGAGAGAATTTTTTTTGAGGCGTCTACCAACCTTTTCATCAGAGTATAAAGTGAAAAAAAATAGTCAATTTTTTTGACCCACTCTAGGCAACATAGGTAGTAGATTACATTTACATGGAATAAAACCCAGAAAAAATCCAGTGGTACTCAAAATTTAAGTAAAAAATATTTTTTTTGGGAATTTTCAAATTAAAATATCTCGGTACTAGCGTGTACCCGCGACTTCGTTCGCGTCGAGTTAATCATTTGTAATGGTGATGATAAAGCAAAGCAAGAATTTCCATTAACATTACAAACTGATCATACATATCGCGAAAAATCAGCTTTAAACGTCAAGCAGTTTAAGCAGAATGGTGATTACTCAATGGTCATATTTTATGAATCACCCTGTATAAACAAAATAAAATATACGTATTTAAGAGTTTTTCCGAAAAACTCGCCGGTTTTTAAATAAAAAATATTCTAATATTTGGGGGGGGGTTCATCCCTTTAGAATTCGAGTTTCGAAAAATCCCTTCTTATCGAACCTCTACACCATAGACAAACAGAAAAATTAAAAGACTGCCAGAAGACATACGACGCGCAGGCAAATGTACCTGTAGCGCATCGACGCAAGTGCCGAAATACGTCCATCTAGCTATCTGTGTTTCGACACTAGTCCGTTAGTCTTAGCATATTCAGAAAGAACACGCTAACCTCCAGCGTTGCCAATTTGTGGGAAATTCCCTAAATTTTGGGGAATCCGGAGCCGATTGGGAGTTTTGTGGGGATTTTAGCAATAAAGGGCGAAAATAAGTGGAGTTTCAACATTTTATTGCTGATTGAAAATGGCGTAAAATTTTTAGCTTTAAAAACGGAGCGGGACGATATATCTTTCCCAACTTAAAAATTATAATCTGCTTTTTACTTGTGCTTCCCTTTGCAAATGCTTCAGTTGAAAGAAAATTTAGTGACCTCAAATTATTTAATGACTACTAGGAAGGGATTAAAAAACAAGGAGGAAATTTACAGTTTAATCTCTCTAACATATATAATAAATATTGTATTTTTATTAAAATTATTTTTTTTTTGTTAAAATAATCATATGGGGAAATTTTGGTGAATCGGGACATTTTCTCCCCAAATTGGCGAATTTAATTTAGATTTTTGGGTAGTTTAGAAAATTGACATTGGCAACGCCGCTAACCTCATTCTTTTGTTTGTTGTTTGTTCAAAAAGCGGCACGCGGCGTAGTACAAGGCTTGATCATTTTTTAAGAAATTTTTGATTGTTAATTTTATTTTTCTGCAAACTAAACAGTTGTTTTTTATTAAAAAATAGCAGACAAAGGTAAGAAAGGTAATGTCCATGCAGAAGTTTTTATTTCACAGGCTATTCTTTCTAGAAATTATACCATCCAGCCCTCCTATTTAATTATTAAATAAAAGTGTGAAAGAGATATCAAGGGCTATTCTGTTAAAATGTCATCCGACCAGTCTAGGCCCTGTTGTGAACCAGAAGGTGTGCTAAGTTGGATGTTGGATATAGAATGGAAGGAATATCATGGCCGAGAACAAGGCATAATTGTATGTCCCTTGATGTAGGGGGGTAGGTTTGTTTCGAATAGGCAGTAAAACCAAAAATTCTACTGTGAATCTTCATATTCTAGGCCTGTAAAGGTAAATAATTCCTGGAGCCATCTCGAGGTATAGTACTCAAGTCGGAGCGAATCAATTGATAGCACGATGAAAAGAAATAATAGCCAGCATAAAACTGTAAATATGTATATAACTAGTACTATGTAGCTATTTAACTGTAAGTACAATGTAGCTAGATATTTAGTAGAATAGGGGTATTATAAATTAATACAAAATACAATAATTGGTCATTCTTTCCATTCCCATTCAATTCTTCCCATTTAATCGTTTTCCCATAAAAAAAGGAAAATTAAAATTAAGAGTGCCCTTAACCAAAAATAGTGAAATAAATGGAGATAGTCAAATTTTATATTAGCGTGTAAGACTTTGAATAAAAAGGTGTAAAAGGATTATAAATGCTGTATTTATATCCTTTAGTATCATGATAATATAAAATTTGAGTAGGTATCTCCATTTATATCACTGTTTTTGGTTAAGGGCACTCTTAGTTTTAATTGCCTTAAAAATAATAAGTATAATAATAATTTAAATCTCCCGCTCTTTCATAGTTCGTACCTGTAGCCAAGTAGAGGGCGCTAAAAGCGCAATCTCCCAACATTTTACCACGCGATTCACCACTCTCTAAACTATTAACTTTCTCTATGCTCTACACCCTAAAGTCAATCCGTTTTTCAAAAATCAGCTTTTTACGACAAGCGCTTTAAGCAGGATCGTGATTAGATCATCAATGACCAGATTTTTCAAAACACCCTGTACACATTTTTAAAAAATCTTAAAATATGTAAAAAAACAAAATAAAATATAGGTGTTTAAGCGTTTTTTCGGAAACTTGACCGTTTTTTAAATAAAAAATATTCTAATGTTTGAGGGGTGGTTTCACCCCCTTGGAACTGGAATTTCGGAAAATCCCTTCTTAACGAACTTCTACACCCTAGAGTCAACCTGTATGCCAAGATTGAGCTTCTTACGTTGAGTGGTTTAAGCAGGATCGTGATTAATCAGTGACTCAGTCACTTAAGGATTTTATATATCAGTATAGATTTTGGAATTACATATTTGATAAGTAAATGGTAAAAAGAAAATATGTTTCTTTTATCGATATCTACCTTTCATCTAGCCCTGAAAATATTTAAATTTATACCAAAACGTTCTATTTGATAGAGTTTTAAAGTGTTTTGGTGTATTATGGTGAATTTGTGTTTTATTTTATTGTAATCTAGTAAGAGCGTTTTCTTTAAATAATTAACTGGCAAGAAAATAAAACAGTTTGTCTTTAAATTGTCGGCAATTTACGGCAAAGAAAATACAAACCCCGAGACACGCCGCCAAGGGCCCGTAACAATCACGAATAATAATTAATTATGGCTTAATGATGCTCCCGTTTCCCGAGTGGGACCCTCCCTCTCCCTTTAAAACCGTTCCCGCTAACCGAAATAGATTAATACTTCGTTCGCAACGAGACCTTCAAAAAGGTAATTATCCCGGCTGGAACAACAGAAAGATAACGGCAAAGAGAAGTCCCTTGCCTGTAAAGTAATAAGTGTATTGGACGCTTTTAAAGAAAAACATCCTTCTCCATGGAAGATAGACAAAAACTAATGGACTCAATTTTTGTCAAAAATATGATGGTGAAAACCGCACATCGATATCTGTTACCGTTTCGGAGTTACGGGGTGTTTTTCTAAAATATGCATTTTTAACAAATCGCTGTAACTTTTTTGCTATGGAAAAATTTCTATTTTTATGAAAACATTTTCAAATCATTTTTTTACGTAGAATTCAATGGTTTAAGTATAATTTTTTTAAAATTAATAATTTAAAAATTTTCAACAGAAAATTTGTTTTTTTTTTATATGGCACTCCCAGTATATTTTTAATTCATTGAAAATAATATAAAATTACATTTCCAAAAATATAGCATACTTGATATTTTGCTCGATTCCTCTTCGAGATGTAGAGTTTTTAAAAATTTGCTCACTTTGAATAAGTAGGCTTTGAACGGCGCATGCTGTAATGCAAAAAAATTCTAGCTGTGAGCAGCAATTAAAACGAAAATAATATTTGCATTGGGAGATGGAGAATTTTAACCTTTAAACTATATCTGATAGCAATGAAAATTAATAGCAAGCCAAGACATGAGATTTTTCTGCAATTGTTCGACATGTCAACCGTCTGCTGTTATGGACAGACGGGACCATTTTTTAGCATTTCTTGCGGAATTTATTAACTCAGTAGATGTTAAAGATACCCTCGCGTAACCGCTAAGAAATTCCTGTCTAGATTATACGGGCAATTGTAAAATAAGAACCTTTATTCTTCTGCAAAAATCAAAATCCACTAAGGATAACAGGCACTAAGTCCGGCGGCCTCGACCGCCAACGGCTGTGATCTTGGTATAGCAATTATTCTCTAAATTGGCTACAAAAATTTGCTGATAACTTCAGCGTTCTGAGGCGGTGAGTCGTTTTGCTGGAAAAATATGTTTTCGAGTTCCATTAGGGACAGATCATCAATAAGAGGTCCAAAACCTACTAGTTAAAAGTAGCCCAAGTAGCAAAAAGAAATTCTAAAAGGATTGAATTATTTTATAACAGTCGAATAGCGTTGCCTTAAGGACTGCTTGACTTTATTAAGCGTTTGGTTTCGACCATTCTGTTTTTTAATAAAAGTTGTCATATTAAACTATTTTGTAGTAGTTTTTACAACGTATCCTATAACGCATTAAACGATAATTTCTTTTAGTATGATATAATACTTAATAAGACAATGCTATATGATAACAAACATATTATTTTATTAGACTCTTATACCCACCATGTAAGAGTTCTATAATATTCATATAACATAGTAGTCACAAGATCATATAATAGTTACTTAAACTTGTCTTATTAAAGTTGTATTACGTTGTATGATAGAACGTTTTATTGCGTTAAACTACGGTGCTGTATACAACACAGTTATATAGCCTTATATGATAAAATTGTGATTAACAAAATAAATTCGCTGTAATATCTGCATTATAAAACTGGTAATGTACAATATAACCTCATTTTAAATTAAATGGTATGTCTAGTTATTTATTTTGTTATTGTTGTTGTTGCAAAAGTAATATCTACGTACGAGTATAATCAATCACAGCTATTATGAATTCTGGACAAAGTTGGAAAAAAGTTAACAAACGCAGTGGTAGATATAAAGAGCATGTAAGAAAAAACTCCTCGAAATTACGGCAAATAATCCCCAGAATTCCCTGGGTTCTCAAAAGTCAAAATCTCTCGGGTTGTCTGGCTTCTTCAAAGCATTGTTGCCACGTTGGTGTAAAAGTTTTACTGTAGTAATGTTTGTATTGTTTTATTGTTGTTTTTCCAAGTCCTTATGTTGGCGCTCACTCGTCGGGCACGCATGAAATGCATTGCGTGCATGAATCCATGAAAATCTGATCATGTTTGTCAGTTTAAATACTAATCAAATGAGATTTGGCAACATCTATTTGTCACAAATCTCAATATGTCCAAAATAGTTCTATAGTGCCTGGAAATTCTGCGTAATGATAGATATTTATCCTATACCGTTTTATTTTACAACAAAGACTTATTTAAGCTATTAATTATTTAATTTTTTTTATCATTTATAATAAAATGGTTGCATTATAATTCGCCATGTTTAAGGCAGAACTTTTGTATGGCCTATGTCCTCCATTATATAAAGCAAAATTAAAAACATCAAAATACATTGTAAAATGTTATTTTTGAGAACTATTTTGTGCTAAGATTCCCACATAGAGTAATAAAGTGTTTAATTAAATTAAAAACAAGAATTTTTGAAAATTATATTTTATTTTATTGTTTAAATTTATATGTAAACCTTAATCGAAATTAAAGCGCTTTAATTTTTTGGCAAATACATACCTATAATCTACCAGTAAAATTTTCGGCGCAATAAAAATTGTCCCTACTTTTCAAACACTATTAATGATTTTTTATATTACATATTTGTTGTACCTTCTGGCTCTACCCGCCCTTTTCATTGTCGAGTAAAGTCTCCTTTTTAACAATCCACATCCTCTAGATTCATTTTACGACACGCTTAAAATATAATTTGCTCCTAATATCCTTTGGTAAAAAATAAAATACTCTTGTACCTCGCTAAATGATTAAATGTTTTTATTGTTCTGTTTCTTAGATGTGACCACGTAAAACACAATAAAACTAGTTTTATAATAGTCATATAATGCTGTGTAAAATAGTTGCATAAGAGTGGTCTACCCTTTTTATAGAACTTCTATACTACTAAACGGTTCTATAAAAATGGGCCTTTTTTGGTTATAAAGCTATCATATTAAGGTCATATTGCACGTTATATGAATTGAGGTATCCTATAAAAATTATCACATAGCTGTTTATACAACCTTTAAAAAATAAAATTTGCCACTTGGGAGCAAACTTTTAAAAATACTGTATTTCGAAGGGGACTGTAACAATATATCAAATATGCTATTTTAGAAAGGTAATTTAAAGTTCTTTCCAATTAATTACAAATATACTGGGCGCCCTAAATAAAAAATCAAGTTTTCTGTTGATAACTCTAACATTATTAATTTTAAAAAAATTATACTTAAACAAATCAATTCTACGAAAAAAGGTGCTTTGGAAATGTTTTCACAAAAATTGATTTAATGATAAAATAATCAATTAATTTTAATAATAAACCCTCCAAAAATAAATAGATCTTAATTGGCATCAAAATTATACTTTTTTCCACGTGGTATTTCGATTCGATTACACATGATTTTTTATATAAATACCTACTTTATTATTATTTATAAAAAATTAAAAGGGTATTTAAAAAAAAACGTTACCCTAAGACAGTAAAGTATGAATAATGTGTTTTATTTATAACAAAATGAGTATTTAACATCTTACGGTAAAGAACCACAATAACGCTATTCCCGTCCTTCTCTTCTATGACCTAGTTTGCAAACGGAAGAATATTTATGACAGTTCAAAGGGATCTTCTTCTCTCGCTGTTGCACCTCGTGGCAGTTATTTATGATCATTTGAATACGAGAAAGATAGAGTTGGATAGGAGAATGCAGCTACGTTCTGGGATTTTGTATTTTATCTCAGCGTATATTTTATTGCATTATTTTGTATTTTATACTATTTCACTAACCCCCGGTGTTT